CATTCGCTGGAACACGTTGATAAGTTACTGAATGTTAGCAACACAGGGAAGATGTTCTACCTCACCTTTAACAGTATGATAAGTGTAAGGTGTGAAGAAGTGGCTGGGGATATACCAAGAAGGGGAGATGATGACGTTCACAGGTTGGCATGACAGGATTCAGGGGAGCAAGGATGGATAAACCTGTCGTTCCGTTATACATTAGGCAATAACTTACTGAACTCGTAGGGTTATACAAAGAGCTATAGTTGAAAATAAGAGAGAAAGAATAGCTGGCACGTCATGACAAGGAACACTATAACAAGGAAAAGCTGTCACTTCATAAGGAAGAGCTGTCACTTCATAAGAAAGAGCTGGCACGTCATGACAAGGAACAACTGGCACACTATAACAAGAAACAACTGGCTCTTGATGACGATATTTGTGCTGGGATCATTGACCTACTAAAGGCGTCGTTTAAAGCTGAGAGGAAGAGACTGTGAGAGGAGAAAAAAGATGATAGTGGGAGAATGTTTTTTAAGACAGTGAGAGATTGTGAGGGAGAAAACAGGAGTTGTATCACGACAAATGACAAAATAAGAGACTGATCGGATACAGATACGGGATGTGATATATCCTCTTGGTACAAATATTTACCAATTCAACTTTACGAGATGACAAAGTTGGCATTGTTACGAACCCCTCTCCACCCAGCACTACGAACCAATGCCATCTATTGTCTTGATCTACCTACCCAGCACCACGAGCACTATCTAGGGACGAAACACGAGGCATGACTGTCTTAGCTACCACCTGGGGTTTTCTCTCCATATCCTGGTTGTTGCGTCACCCCTCAAAGTCTTCTTTGCGAGCTCCACTGAGGAGAGAGCACTGGCTCTGGAAAGGACCACAGGATCATCTATCCTCTAAACCTACGGGACAGTGACTACTCACCGTCTTCTACAATACCCAGCCTCCTTACCTGTCAAGCCATCTCAGCTCCTCACTTAAGTACTAGTATTTTGTATTAACTCCCCCACGTCCACTTGCTTCAAGATTGTTTATGTTGTATTAATATGTATATACTGTTAATGTTTAGGTTAAGTTTGGTTAAGGGTAATTTATAAGCTGAATATTTTGTTAAGGGATTTATGGTACTTTATTATATACAACGAAAACTCGCATCCTTTGTCTACCCTTTTATAGTCCGATTGTCTTTGTTTTTTTTTTTTTTGTTACCTGTTGGGATCTGGGTAGACGTATAACTATATCTCCCAAATCCCCAACCTGTAAATAGTATATTAATAGGAAGGAGATAAAATGTTCCTGAAGGAATGAGTGACGTTAAAAGCAAATCACTATATTGACTAAGAGGCAAAATTAGAAGCGTACTGTGTGAAACTTTTATAAACAATGTAAGAGAGAGACTTAATAAGCACCTGTACATAGTTGTGAGCGCGAGATAAGTACACAAAAAGTGTCATAGTATAAGGTTTAGTTGATGAATACAATCAAGAAAAGTTGCAGAATTTTAAGATTTCGGGGAGGAACTTTATCCGTAGGGACAGGAGAATGGATTCGGAGACATCTGAGAGTATGATGAAAGACCAGCAGCCTGCTGAAGCTGTGAGGAAAGTCATGCAAGGTAAATATTTGAGCCTGCAGACGTGGAGGAGTGTGAGGGAAAGGCAGCCCAACTTTCTTTGATGTATCAGAGTGAAACACGGGCACTCAACAGCTGTATTAATGAGCAAAGTATAAAGTGTAAGAGTTAATATAACATTTAAAGTGATAATTATAGATGATTGACAGATGAGTACGGTGTTAGAAAACGATATGACCAAAACTACAAACAATTTATGAAGAATGGAAGCGTAAAGACGTATCATTTTTCAAGAAAACCTGAACTATAACAGTGTATATGAGCAACTGACGAGGAATAAGAGGAATGAGAGATTGAAAATGAAAGGAAACGAGTAAGAAAGCAATATTAAAGTGAGGTGTTTTTATACCCTGACACGTGGACCGGTGCAGCTGCAGTTCTGGTGCCATGAGATTAAATGATACTATATGAACTGTATTGTTGTATTGTCCAATGGAAAGAAGAGCATTAATGACCTTGTGTTATGGGTCAATGTGTTGGTGATGAAGACAATGGTGAATTAAATACTAATATCCAAGTTTCCATAGAGTTTAACACACCGTCCTTTTGTGCCGAAAGAGTTTGGATCTTGTTTTAAATTGCTTCACCTTAAGTATTGATAATCGACAAAATAACTCGGAATTTCTACTTAGTTATGTGATTATTTTTTAGAGTAATGTCCCCACTCCACTCGGCTTACAGTTAGCTTATATTTTAATGTATTTTTCCCCCACAATTCAAGTATCATATTTGTATTCAAGTTTCTTCTCTTATATTTCATTCTCGTGTTGACCATATATTCCAACAAGGAAAGTGTTTCTACTATAATGTAAATCTTGTTTCATGGACTTAGATTGCTTGCCTGTTCTTACACCCACGTATGCATAATTCATTCTGTGTAAATTTCGCAAGAGTTTGTGATGAAGCAAGAGTGTTGCTCAGTAGGTAATTAAAACACTGGACTTTTCTAAAGTTTGGTGTATCCTTCTTCTTTGTCAACATTTTATCTTAGACATTGTAAACTTATGTTTTTATATTCAATGTTAATTAATAGACTGAGGAACACTTTGATGTTGTCTAGATTCTTTCTCGTGAGGTGTTGAATCAGGTGGACCAGACATAAGTCACTTGTTCACAGTCTGGGTCACTGGTCCTGTGATGTCTTCCTCCTTCTCCCTAACAGATTTTGTGTCAACCTTCCAAGATACATTATTAACCTCTGGTCTTGGACTGCGGTATCATTGTTTCTCAAGTATAAACAGGAGGTTGTGTCGAGGTAATGTCACCGTTGGGTGGGACAGCTTATACTAGCAGATTTACGACGACTAAAGCTTTTCTTGAAACCAATATCGGTCTGTATAATGGTTGCCCCTCGTGTGTAGCGAGGATGGCCGGCCCAAGGGCCACCTACAGTAGGCGTGAATTTGCTTAAGGTGCAGAAGCTGTCGCCAACACAACAACCACACCCTAAGTTAACGAGTTGCATGACCCAGTGGCAAGGAATAATTCGAAAAGACCGGACAACGCCAACTGCTCTGGCTAACCATTACCCTGGGAACACGATCGGCAAATCGATTAACATCCAGGTTCCCAATTACTGATGGGTAGACAGAGGCAAATGGCGTAAAGAAACTTGCCCATAGTTTCACCTTGCGCTCTGTGATCTCTTACCAGGAGTCGCTCATCGTTGCTCGTGTGTTCTCAGTACAGGAAAGTTCTGTTTGATGTGTGACATTGAACATCTTCACACTGAACAGGAGAGATAATCCCGACTCAGACGTCCATCCAAAAATGGAGAAAAGGATTAAGCTGGTCGTGGTTTTTATGCAACAAATGGGATGACATGAATGGAAAAGAAAAAGGAACTGAAAACTTAAGGCTTACGGCTGGAAAGAGAGCACATCACAGCAGCAGGCGTTAGCGGTTAGGTTAGGTTAGGTTAGGTTAGGTCAGGTCAGGTCAGGTCAGGTCAGGTCTGGTTAGGTTAGGTGTACATGCTAGGTGTGTTAGGTGTCAGGTAATTTTTTCATAATTGTCTTTGCTGCAGGTGATGAACCATGAACCCCGAGATTCGGACTCATGAACCCGACACTGATGCATTATTCTGTCCATAAATGATTCGGATTCACGAGTCTGAATCTCGGGGTTCGTGGTTCAGGAGGAGAGGCGACTGTACCACTGAAAACTGAGAGTAATTAAAAACTGGTATGACAGAGCACAGTATGTCGCTATGTCAAGGTATAATGGAGAGTATATTAGTTAGTTTGGGTGGTAACAGAGGTAAGAAGGGCTGTATGTTTTCGTCAATCTCATTCACTGTGTTTATTGTTGTTACAATGAAGCAAGTAATGGGGTGCGAGGTGTCAGGTGAAAGGTGTCAGTTGAAAGGCCTGAGGTGTCAGGTGAGTGTGGTATAAAACACTCAGAGTAAAAGGTAAAAAGAGTTAAGATTGAAATACTGAGGCGCCTCCAGCATGAAGCTCCAGCGAGACCTGACAACACTACACAGTTGTATATATTTAAATATGGGGTGCCTCATAAAAATTTACTTTGGTAACCACACACACACACACACACACACTCAACACCCACACCTGCTTTCCTGTGGCTTGAGGATAACATGCCTGTAATTTGAGCTGCAGAAACCAGACAACACTTTAAATGCTGAATTGTTCATTGAAATATCAGCCGCCGGTACAAAGGACGTGTGAGTAAAATGCTTATGACAGCAGCACAAAGTCAACTAAACTTTACTGAATATGAAGCAGAAGAACTGTTTCAATTTTATGACTCATTAAGGCATATGTTACATGTGTACATTTCCCGTCAGTTCTGTTCTCATAAATGATAACACCTGTCTCTCTCTGCCACACCTCATTGGTCTTACGTCATTGCTCTTGGGAACTTTAACTACTCCCAGAAAAAAGGCAAAATGTTTCTTCTTCCTTATCAGTTATGTTATCATATATTGTGGAGGAGTAAACCTGGCAACACCATAACGTTCACCATTACACCATCACTTTAGTTCTGACTCACTGTTGCTTGTTGGCCTGAGTGGCATAACCCAGCAGACAGGGGAGGATCAACGTCACGATATATATACATCAACGTGTCAACAAGTATTACCCAAAATATACAACATCAAGACGTGCTCTGATAATGAATCCTTAATTATATAATATAAATGTAAATGTAAAAGAGTTAACATTCAACCAGTAACGGATTTGATTTTTCATTCGATTTCCATTTCCATATTTTCAGATGAATACTTCTTAGTTCGAGGGCGCGAGCCATAAGCTTCTCATGAGGTAAAAATATTCTTATGTCAAGTATTTTACTTTATAATTTTCGCTAGATATAAAAGTGTTTTATATTCCAAATGAATCTTAACTACAAGTGGAGTTGGAAGCTCTCACACGGAGCAGCCGGAGTGGGCCGTGAGGGTGAAGTGGGCCGTGAGGGTGAAGTGGGCCGTGAGGGTGAAGTGGGCCGTGAGGGTGAAGTGGGCCGTGAGGGTGAAGTGGGCCGTAAGGGCGGAGTGGGCCGTGAGGGAAGAGTTGGCCGTGAGGGTGGAGTGGGCCGTAAGGGTGGAGAGCGCCGTGAGGGAAGAGTTGGCCGTGAGGGTGGAGTGGGGCCGTGATGGTGGAGTGGGCCGTGAGGCTGGAGGGCCGTGAGGGTGGAGCGGGCCGCGAGGGTGGAGGGCCGTGAATGTGGAGTGGGTTGTGAGGGTGGAGCGGGCCGTGAATGTGGAGTGGGCCGCGAGGGTGGAGAGCGCCGTGAGGGAAGAGTTGGCCGTGAGGGTGGAGTGGGCCGTGAATGTGGAGTGGGCCTTGAGGGTGGAGTGGGCCGTGAGGGTGGACGGGGAGAGAATGACTCACTGCGTGGTGATGGTAGAGTGGAGGAACAGAGTGAAGACGAGGTGGATATTGGTGGCCGCTCGTGTTAGAGACTGGCCGGCCCTAGGACCACCTAAGCGTGAATTAGAAGCTGTTGATAACACAATAACCACACCCTAAGTTAACGAGCTGTGTGACCCAATGTCCAGTAATACTCCAACAAAAAACTGACGTCTTACTAACTGCACTGACTAACCATTATCCCACAGTTCGATTAACGTCCAGGCTCCCAACTTCTGCTGGGTAGACAGAGGTCAAGAGGCGTAAAGAATCGAACCCGGTACCACTCGCTTCTGAGGCGAACATCCTGCCCATTACAACATCTGGCAACCAAGGGAAAGTATGAAAACACACACACACACACACACACAAACACACACGCGTCCTTCGCCGTCCAGCAAGTCAACTTTAACTTGGGGCTCAGCGTCCGGGAATATGCAGAGGAACATTTCCAGGAGTTTTTGTGGCAGAAATGTTGGAGGTGCTGCAGTCTCTAACGTAAATACCAGACCTGTTGCTTCTTGTTACATAAGTGCCGCTTTCATGCCATACTTACCCACAAAATTTTGTAGAACTTTTCATTTTGAGGAGATGAACTTTATTCTTGATTTACTACACCGATGGTACTGTATGTTGAGTCTTAGGTGTAGCTTGTTGTTGTTGTTGTTGTTGTTTTCTGTATTGTTGTCGGTGTGATTGATCTTCCTTCACTTTGTGTATAATTATTAAAAAATAAATAAAAAGGTTACCAGTGAAAAGTCGGACATTTTGTATAAACTGATGTAACTATATTGTCTTTTGGGTAACATGGTGGAGCAATATAATACACCTGAGATAAAGACCCAGTGTTACCTATAAAGATCTAATGATGAAAACCTGATGAGTGGCCCCCCGCTGACGAGTGCTTCCCCCGCTGACGAGTGTTTCTCGTCGAGTGCTTCCCCGCTGACGAGTGCTTCCCTGCTGACGAGTGTTTCCCCCCGCTGACGAGTGCTTCGGGCTGACGAGTGCTTCTGCTGACGAGTGTTTCCATCTGACGAGTGCTTCTCCCAGCTGATGAGTAGTTCCCAGCTGACGAGTGCTTCCTCCCTGACGCAAGCTTCCCTGCTGACGAAAAGCCTACCGCTGACGAGTGCTTCCCCGCTGAAGAGTGCCCCCGCTGACGAGCGCTTCCCCAGCTGACGAGTGCTGCCCCCAGCTGACGATTGCTTCCTTCCTGACGAGTGCTTCCCACTGCTGATTGAGTTATCTACCGCTGACGAGAGTGCTTACTCCGCTGACGAGTGCTTCTTCCTGCTGACGTTTCCAGCTGACGAGTGTTCCCCCCGCTGACGAGTGTTTCCTACCGCTGACGAGTGTTTCCCACCGCTGACGAGTGTTTCCCACCGCTGAAGAGTGCTTCCCCCGCTGACGAGTGCCCCCTCCCAGCTGACGAGTGCTTCCAGCTGACGAGTGCTTCCTCCTGACGAGTGCTTCCCCTGCTGACGAATGTTCCACCGCTGACGGGTGTTTCCTCCCTGACGAGCCCCAGCTGACGAGTGCTTCCTCCTGACCAGTGCTTCCCGCTGACGAGTGTTTCCTCCTGACGAGTGCTTCCCAGCTGACGAGTGCTTCCTGACGAGTGCTTCCCCGCTGACGAGTGTTTCCCACCGCTGACGAGTGCTTCCCGCTGAAGAGTGCTTCTCCCCGCTGACGAGTGCTTCCAGCTGACGAGTGCTTCCAGCTGACGATCGCTTCCACCTGACGAGTGCTTCCACCGCTGACGAGTTGGTTCCACCGCTGACGAATGTTTCCCACCGCTGACATGTTTCCCACCGCTGACGAGGTTTCCCACGCTGACGACTGCTACCCGCTGACAGGCCCCGCTGACGAGTGCTTCTGCTGACAGGCTTCCTCGAGAGTGTTCCCCGCTGACGAGTGTTTCTATACGGACGAGTTTCCCACCGCTGACGAGTGCTTCCCTCGCTGATGAGTGCTTTTCCCACCGACGAGTACTTTCCCTGCTGACTAGTGTTTTCCCCGCTGAGGAGGCGTTTCCGCTGACGAGTGCTTTCTCCCCGCTGACGAGTGTCCCCGCTGACGAGTGCCCCCTCCCAGTTGACGAGTGCCCCCATTAGTAAATCGTTGCTCCGCCAGTGTGTACACAAGCCTAATAGATTATCATACACTATAAATTGTGTGTGTAGTTAGAGGATTTTTCGTATGTTTTGTTGATACAGTAAACTTGGCTAACAAACTGCTTCATCTTCTTTTTCAAATCTGCTAAAAAACATCGAAAACTTCATCAGGTTTAACGTAAGTTAACTTAGGTTAGGTTAGGATGGAAGGTTAGTTTAGGTAAGCGTGGGACATGTTAAGTTAGGTTAGGTTAGGTTAGGTTAGGTTGGTTTAGGGTTGGTTAGATTAGTATGGATTCGGTTTGGGTGAAATAGGTTATGGTGGGTTTGGGTGGATCAGATTAAATTAGGTTTAAATGTAACTCTTAATACTAACAAGACAGAGATCTGTTGGTGTACTTGGAGAAGAGACGGTGTACTGTAGCTGTGTGCAGCCCCGCGGTCAACGCTCCGAATTGTTGTCCACTGATCTCATTTTTTAATGGTGTAAAATGTACAGTATATGAAGGTGGGTCCCTACAACCCTCCAAATGGACGCGTCTCTGTTTGAAGGTCGTGTTAACATCTCGTCATTACTTACGGTTTATCTACAGTATAATATTACGATGTAAATCACTGTGTACCATTACTAAGGCAAGTTTATTTTAGTGGGTATGCGAAAAATAGGTTGATGCAGCTGATATGATGTAGCTTATAATGATGCAGCTCATATGATGCAGCTCATATGATGCAGCTCATAATGATGGAGCTCATAATGATGCAGCTCATAATGATGTAGCTCATAATGATGCAGCTCATAATGATGCAGCTCATATGATGCAGCTCATAATGATGGAGCTCATAATGATGCCAGCTCATAATGATGCCAGCTCATAATGATGCATACAGCTCATAATGATGCCAGCTCATAATGATGCAGCTCGCAATGATGCAGCTCTATGATGCAGCTCATAATGATGCAGCTCATAATGATGCAGCTCATATGATGCAGCTCATAATGATGCAGCTCGCAATGAAGCAGCTCATAATGATGGGGCTCATCATCTGAACAGTTTTAGGAAGGAATATTTGTATTGTCCTACTGTTTCTCTGTTGGCAGAAAATTGATCAATAATTTGACCAGAAGAAAGTTGGGATGAAGTATACCTTTATACAAAATATTCTTGTTTTATTTGTTTAAATATGTTTGGTTGTTGTGGCCAGCTGACGTGCTCGGTTATGGCCGCCACCAACAGTAGACGACACTCCTGCAGAGACTTCACAGTATACCAACACTATATTTTGATCATCTTCCTCCTAAATTTTGATTTATCAAACACCAAAAATATTGTTTATGTAGTGCCATGGAAATAATAATGGTAGACAGTTAAGTTCATCCGTTTGTCATGAGCGGTAGTAATTATTATTGAAAATGTTTGACGCTTAATTCATATACTTTGAAATCTTTCCATTCATAAGTGTTCAGTAACATTTCCAGAATTAGATAAATCAATACATAAGAAATCCGCGTTATATTTCTATAATATCGGACGTCAGTGTCAGTGAATATTTTGAATGTTTTATCTTTCTGATACAAATTATACATTGACTGCATCATAGTACACTGACATTTCTGGCTGTTTATTTGCAGTTTGAATTACATAAAATATATAAATTCACAGAGCTTCCCCATTCTAGGAGTTAAAATCGTAAACAACGCAAATATGATTGATATTCATGAACATAAACAAAACAATTATATTTGTATGCAGGACCAATTTTATCACCTAACTAAATGGTACAATTGTTTTCCTGTTGTTGCTAGCTTATCATTGAAGACGATACTTCCGGCAAAAGTGAATAATTGTGACTGAAGAACATCTGCTTATATACTGTAGAGACAACAAATACAAAGATACTATGATGACCATTATACACTATCACAATGCAAATGCATCACTGTGACACCTATTTTTTCTCAACACGCATATGTTGCTCCCAAAAAGCAACGGATCCACGGATATGTACTTTTGTACAACATTCACCTCAACAATCACTTCATAATCAATTCTAATCATCTCCAATATCTGTTCTATGGTCTGGATCACCTCTGCTTGACGTTCCTGGGTCAGAATATATATTGAGGCTCTTGTAGATATGACTGTGTGTTATATTCACGTCATTAATGTTGCCTTACATAACCTTGCAATATCTCGGCGTATGTGGGTCAATATGGTACCGTCGATTATGCCAAATATAGTCGTAGTATATCGGTTATTTTCGCGTTTTAAGGATGTTTTGTTAAAGGAAAACATATTGAATTAAAGTATTTTGATAAAGCTGGTTGTTTGTTAGGTATGGAGAGAAGTAAACCTTTGTTTTAATAGCTCACATTACTAGGTGTGTTAACAGCCAGTATGGGCCATTGAGTTTGTTATTATATTTACCACTTTAGATAAAGCTTAGTGAGGAATATCAATCGAGTATCATACTTAGGGCTAAAGGCTGGCGAGTGTGAATAGTGAGGTTTTTGTTGTTGTCCCTCCCTCTCTCACCTCGTTGTGTTGGCGGCAACTCCATACCATACACAAACAGCTGGACGAGATGGACTCCCGGCCGGCCACCCTCCATCACTTGAGATAAACCGC